ATATATATATATATAAACACACACACACACAAACACACACAAATATATATAGTGTATTTGGGCAGCAATTCCTCGCAGAACCATTTTTGTTGTTTTTAATGAAACTTGTATAAAAGAGGGATTGCTGCCCAATCACACTCATACAATCTCTCTCTCTCTCTCTCTCTCTATATATATATATATATATATATATATATATACATATAATTATAATGATACATATATTTTGTTATAATATATATATATATATATATATATATATATATATATATATATATATATATATATATATATTTAATATGTGAAGCAAATATTATTTTATATGATTAATGGCATATAAGATACGAAAGTTAAAAACATAAAATGTATCATAAATTAGTAAATTATTAGATCGTCTTAAAACAACAAACACACTAACTCTAAGCACGGATAGTCTTCCCTTCTTGATCCTATAGCTACCCCCCTCTAATTAATCCTAGCCCTCGAAACCTGGTGCCTAAACGCGGAAGTATATTTGCTTACAGTTGGTGTGCTACAGTCATTCTTCTTTGAATCGTGGACTGAGTCACTGGCGTGTTTGTTGAAAATAAATACGTAAACGTTAACCGGTAGCTTAGGGGAAAAATCTCAGACTATTGAGAAATCCGTCGGGTTTCGTTCCTGGTTTGAGGCAATCGGATGTCTACCCGCACTGATGGTCTACGATACAGTTTACCTGTGCATGATAATATATATGTATAACGCTGCACGTTCAATTTTAAGAATTGTGTATTGAGCACTTTCTTAAAATATTTATTCATTGGTCTGACCTAACAATATTTTATATCTTTCTTTCTATCTCTCTATCTCACACACACACACACACACACACACACACACACATACATACATATATATATATATACATATATATGCTAAGATATGGTACGAATAGGTTGCGTTTATGAATTTAACATCTTCGATTTTATTTAAACTTCATCAGAAAATGAAATATAAAGGAGAAAATAAAATTTTGGCATTATTATTTTTTGTGTTTTTTTTTCATTTGTTTAGCAGACCTCACGTGTACCTGTCCTGTCAAGCAGTATTTATGCGTATAGTTCATGGGTGTATGTGCATAATAATCTGCGGGATTTGGATGATAATGTGTATTCGTTTGTATGGGTTTATGCGTTTGAGCGACTACTAGGCAATTTCATCTATGTTTGATTTTTTAGGAGAGATTTCATTCGTCAGATATTTTTTTGTAATTAAGCAGTGTCCGAAAGTCACGAAAGAGCCGGATTAAGAAGTCGAACTGTATTTCTTTCTCCCTCTCATTCTCTTTCTCTCTCTCTCTCTCTCTCTCTCTATATATATATATATATATATATATATATATATATATATATATATATATATATATATATATATACCGTTTTAAAAACAAGGAATTTATTAATGGTAATAGTCCCTAAGCCATTTCGTCTAACATCTCATAAGGAAAAAATCGTTGGAAAAATTGATAGATTAAACGAAAACAACAACAACGAAAATGAAGAACAAAAAAAGGGGGGGAAACACGCTAAAATCAATAAAATATAAGTATATTTATAAAGAGGGGAGGGGAAATCGCGTGTAAATAATTAGCGAGGGACAGTTAAAATAAAATATCCCACAACAAATTAAGGGACTTCACAAAATCCTTCTGCCGGCAAAGAGATTTCCGTCATCCTATACAGATTGATTCCAAAATCTTCAAATGCTTGTTGGAACCAGTGAATAATTTTGAACCACTCTTTCGTATACGACTTGACACAGGCTATATTCTCTAGTAGGTGTTCTTTTCGTTTATCAACTTTTACAGCGATTTTCTCCTGATGAGATGTTGGACGAAAGGGTCTTAGGTACTATTACCATTAATAAATTCCTTGTTTTTAAAACAGTATACAGATTTTGTACCTCTAAGCATTTGTTTATATATATATATATATATATATATATATATATATATATATATATATATATATATATATATATATATATATCCAATTTCACAATATGGGAAAATACTTGTTGACAATAGCAATATACTACACGAAAATAATATGCGAAAACTTGAAATTCTTGAGGACGTCTACATCAAAAGTTTATTACGAGTGCAGTAGCAATATTTAAGTTATTTTTGACTAACATTTAATGCGATTTTGCATTTTTACCACCTCTCGTTAGTTGCCTTATATTGGGATGAATGCAAAAAAAGTACCCTAACTACAAGGGATAAATTTTAAAAAAATAAAATAATTATAAAAGAGCGCGAATTTTTCGCTTGAGGATGAAATGGAACTAATATCTTTAATTTAATTACAAAATTAAATTCGGAGCTTTTAGCTTCCATTTTTGAAACATGGTTATAACTGTATAGCGAAAAAAACATATTTTAAATCAATTAATTTATAATATTAATGCTCTGCAAATTTACATTGAGCACTATTTTGTAAAAATAAAAATATCTATAAGAACACCGGATTATATATCTTACTGTTCTTTCTTTTATATATATATATATATATATATATATATATATATATATATATATATATATATATATATATATATATATATATATATATATTACATTACTATTCAACGAAACATGCTTGAATATATATATATATATATATATATATGCTTGAATATATATATATATATACGTGATCCCACGTATATTATATGTGTTTATGCGTGAAGGGAATTTACTTGGCGATTAGGATACTTACCTGATTTGCACTGGTATATGTGGTTGGCATTGCAGTCCGTGTAATAGCCCTGATTTCGAATGACGAACTCTATGGCGTGCAGTCTAACCTCGCTTGGGACGTTGCCACAACAAAATATACTTTGCAACTCTGCGGGCTTTTTTCCGAAATGTGTGCCAAAATTTTTCCAAATTTCCTGCGTGTTGTACTATTAAAAAAAACTGTTCAATTTAAAATTAATGAGTTGGCCTAAATTTTTTTGTATGTATGGTGTCGTGTTTTTGTTTGTTTTCAGGAAATTGTTCATTTTTTTTTTGGCTTTATTTTCAAATAAAAATAAAATTCCGAATCATTCTATAGCAGGCGTAACTGTATACGTTATTTCTATTGTTGTACTGCCGAGAAATCTTGCCCCTTTCCACGAACGGGAAATGGTGTATCTAGATCTTGATAAAAAGTCCTCATTTTTCAAACATTTGTCAAATACCGATCAGTGTAAAGAAAAATGGAATTTGATTGGTTTTCCGTCATCGATAGGGCGGACACACCATACAAATAGGCCATTAAAAAAAGATTTTCGATTGCTAAAAGCAGCCTCATTTAAATAATCAAGTTAAATCTTGAGGAGGCAAAAATAGATTTGTAGAATTAAAAGAAGCGTTTGTTGCACAACCCCCCTCCTGTTTCTTTTTTCTCTTTCCCTTTTTCTCTTTCTAAGAATGTTTAATTATTGTCTGCTACGAATAAATTCATTTTCCTCTTTTTTGTCTCCCTTTTTCTCTCTGTCGTTGTCTGTCTGTGTATATGTGTGCTTGTATATATTTGCGTGTGCTGACGTGTATTTTCACAAAAGTAGAAACATTTCAGCTCGTGCGAAATGTGAACCGAGCCATTTTTCAAGGAACTCCGAATTCCAATATCGCCAATATTCCTCTTCAAAATTCACCCCCCTCCCCGCATAATATGAGGCACCACCTCCCATTTTGAAGCGAATAAATCATACGGTGACTCAAATACGCATATCGCCACTTTTTCTTTAGCTTTTATTCTTCTTATTCTTCCTCATTCTGGCTCTTGTTTCCATCACATCTCCTCATCTTTCTAGCAATCAATCTTCACTGAGGGCCCCACTGGAAGGGCATTTTGCCAAATTAGGCCCTGCTTAATAAATAACTATATACACTAGTGTGTGTGTGTGTGTGTATGTATGAACATATCTTCATGGGTAAATGTATGGGGCTTCATATCATTATTAGATGTAGATAAAATCTGACGTGGACAGAAGGATCTGCAAGATTATCAAACAAACAACACAAACACACATACACACACTCACTAACACACATACACACACAGACATTTATATATTTGTGTGTGTGTAGCCCGGCGTGCCACGCCATTCAGCCCCAGAGGAAGCGTCCGGTTAGTAAGGTTAAATTATTGTTTTTAAACTACAAATTTTTCATGCTTTTCCACGAACGCTCATATCTGCTCGAAGCGGATCTTAACGTAAACAAATGAAAATTATTTTAATATATTTTCTGTTTATACGTTATTTTAGAGATATAAATATTTAAGTAAATGCTATGTTTATAATAAACAATATCGACAACATCTACCGGCTGAGAAAGCCCACAGAAAACATGTATCCTCCGATAGGAATTGAAACAGCATGGTCGATTTATCAGGAAGGTGAATTTATCGGTCTGCGAGGAGGCGACCCCAGCATGCGGCACCTTGAAAAGAGTCTGAAAACCATATCCCGGGTTGACCCAAGCCGTGTGAATGAAATTGGGTAAACAAAACTGTATGGGAGCATTCGATGGTTGAGCTAGCACGAAGTCTTAAGTCATCGAGACCGAGAGTTTGAGCGGACTGGCCTTGTTGAGACTGTTGACCATTCCAGATAATGCGGTATCTCCGACAAACTGTAATTAAGGCTAGCTCAGCATAATTGCAGCATAAACCACAGGTGGGCTCTGTGGGTCTTGAACAAAAACAAATGTTCATGAGAAGGCATCTGCTGCAGGGATTGGCTAGCCGCTCTAGCAGACAGGGATAGTCGGATATTAGTGGCCAGCATTATATATATATATATATATATATATATATATATATATATTAAAAAAAATTACTTAAAACACCATGAAGTGATATTTATTTCGTTGAGGTCAGTAAAAGTGGCCTCAACTCTACAGACCTTTGAATACAAATGGAAATGGAAAAAAAATCACTCCAATGCTTTCTCTCTCTCTGACATAGAGCTATCACTGGATCTATTCCTCTTGGAAATTCCATACGGATTACCAATATTTTTATCTATCTATCTATCTATCTATCTATCTATCTATCTACAGTGGGGGAAACAAATACTGTCACACAAACAGTTTAATTTGATGTATTTCCAACTACTGAATAAACATACTTTTATTATACTGATATCTCACTGTTATGTTATTGTTCGTTTAGTGACACTGATTCCTGATGAAAGCAAATCATCCTGCGACTCTTGACAAGTAACCATTTTGTTTAATTTGATGCATTAATTTCCTTTAAGATTTTGAAGAAATCTTCTGCGGAGCACCTGTTCATCTTTGGTTTTCAACAGTTTTGAGTTTTTAATTCCTTGCAATGAATAAACTAATGGTAGTAAATAGAATATTCCGGATGTCTGTGATTTTTCTGTATTTTTTACCTTCTTTCCAGAGCTTAACAATTTATTAAACTGTATATTAATTAATTTATTTATTTTCGCATCCCGGGTGAATATTTGAGAAATCTTATTAAATAAAATATTCGAGAAAAATATGCCCTAGGATTTGTATCTTCCTCCCCTTGGATAGGAGACAAAAAAATTAATTAAACGGCTTAATATGTTCTTTAATAAATAAACAGAACGTCTACTCAAATATGGGTATCAACTAAAAATATCGTTTGAATAAGAAAATCTGAAAATAAATGAAAATCCAACTCTCTCTCTCTCTCTCTCTCTCTCTATATATATATATATATATATATATATATATATATATATATATATATATAATAAAATATCGCACATTGATTTTTGGTCTTAATAAAATATATAACAGAGCTATAAGCTTTATGCATGAAACTCCGAGTCGTGCTACTGGTGAGGAAAATATGTATGACTAGCAGCATAACCCGGCGTTGCCCGTGCTTGATTAAAAAATCGTACGACTCATACAGCAATCGCTATCACTTGACTTAAAATATTTTTGTCCTTCTTTGCCTTTAAGGAGTGCCCTTTGCCGTGCTGATGTTACTACATCCCTTACTTCTTGCCTATCTCACACTGCGAATTTTTTCTAAGCTCTATACTAAACATTAAATCTGTTACGAAAAAAGAACTAAACAAAATGAACACAAAACGATCAGTTTAAAAAAGGACTCGTAACTGGAAAAACCGAATGAAAAAAGAATGTTAACAACTAATACTTTTTCACCCCCAACCCAGTTCTGCGGAATCAGAATCAACGTTGAGTTTAAGCAAGCGAATGAGCCAATTGGAGTAAAGTGTCATGCAGATTTAAATTTTTTCCACTTGTGACAAATGCAGCTATCGATTTTTTTGCCTGCTAGCATGCTAGTTAACATTCGTGTCAGTCAGCTGTTGGCTCTCACGCTGGCCAATAGAATCTTCCTGCCTATTCGTGGCAGCCAGCTATAGGCTCTCACTCTGGCCAGTAGAAAATGGCCGCAAACTACATGAAAAGTGCCATAGAAGTATGAAAAATCGATTATTTCCACTATCGATGGGAGTTGGGAAATGCAAAGTCAGTCTTGGCCTTCCCGCTAACTTGGAGCATGTGCATGTAAATTTTGGTGCAAATCCGTCGAAGATTGCGGCCATGCATTCGTTACACACACACACACACACACACACACACACACACACACACACACACACACACACACACATCACATCCTGCCTTTTATAGATAAAAATTTATTATATATACCTGTTGGCCGTGCAGAAATAAACAAACAAAGCGTTAGGAATTAATTAGCCTCTTCAACCTGACGAAACCTCAAAGTTTGGAACCATGATAGCGAAAGTGTTTGATCCTGTTCCTATTTTTAGCATATATATATATATATATATATATATATATATATATATATATATATATATATATATATATATATATATATATATACACTAGTGTAGCCGTGCGGTAAAAAATGATAGCTAATTTTTTTTATTATAACGCCGTGAATCATATATTCAGATATATTATATAGTGACGCATGCATTTTTTGTGGCAACGTTAATAAAAAACACGTGATATCTTTCTTTGAAAGTAATTGTTATGTAAATGCTTATTATTACTGCTTGTATTTCAGTCTGTCTTAGGCCTTCAGATGTAACAGAAGATATATAAGAATAATTATTATATGATTATATATATATATATATATATATATATATATGTGTGTGTGTCTATGTGCATGAATTTGTGTGCATTTCTGTGTGTGAAATTATATTGTTTAATATTTGCCATAATTATGAGGAAGAATGCACAATATCGAGGATTAAGTATTTGAAGATACAAACATGTAGAAATCTACATTGTGTTACTGCTTATTGTGTGGACTCTACATATATAAATCACTGAGAGAAAATGGCAAGATCTAACCTCAGGTCCCAATGCAGACCAGAAAAGAAATTCCTATCACGCCACCTACAACAACATCACAATTCTCATACTAAACTTTAAAGCTGAAAATGTATAAAAACTATAAATAATATAAGAAAAATAAATAAGCATAATAAAATAAAATAAAAATAAATAAATAACCCCAAGGTCAGGACTAAAAATGATTTTCACACACACACACACACACACACATATATATATATATATATATATATATATATATATATATATATATATATATATATATGAGCGTGTGTGTGTGTGTGAAGGAAAGAGAGAAAAATATGAGTTGGAAATATAAGACAATTTTGATTTTTTTTTACTTATATACGCAAAAGAAGATAAAATTTGGAATTGTCATAAGATTTTCACTAAGAGCCCTTAGAATTTGCAGCCACGAATATTTAGCCGAAGAAAAATATTATATGAAAATATGTTTAGAATTATCAATTATTCGAGTTATTTCATATACAATGCCACAATAAAAACGTACAAATTCTAAACTAAAAACACACTCATGCAGATTACATTATGTACAAACTCCAATACTGAAAATTATTTTACCTACGATTAGCTAATTTCATTACAAGGTGACAATTCAACAACACTTTTAAAAATGTATCAATTTAAAAATCAGCTATGAGTTAAATAGCAGAGTGGGTCTTATTGTTTTCGTTGACAAAATGACAGCATCTTACTGCAGAATTTCTTTTGCGAAGTCAATCACGAATCGAAAAGTGACGTTATCAATCAAACGTTCATCTAAGGAATGATTGCAGAGCTCGTGCTTATATATATATATATATATATATATATATATATATATATATATATAGATAGATAGATAGATAGATAGATAGATAATAAAACGAGGACAAACGAAAGGGCACCAATATAATCTGTAGGATAAATATTTATTGAATTTTAATTATTAACCATATGACACAAATGAAGCACAGAAAGAAAGGTATTACGTTCGGAATTTTCGGACACGCCTGTGTCCTTCATCAACGGACCGAGATATAAACAGAGAAATGGGAATTACTCAAAGACAGATTTTTTTGTAGACGGTGTATTTCCTGGATGAATATTGTTAGCAAAACGTTGATCTCTGTCTGATTCCTCAGTGTGCGAAAAAGTTTTTATGAAAATAAACTTAAATTTAAAATTTATACATACATACATATATATATATATATATATATATATATATATATATATATATATATATATATATATATATATATCCTCCGGCTCTATCTCTTCTATTGTTCTCCCTCCTTCATAATGTTTCTGTCTTTTAATTCCTTCACACCCAATAACCCCTTGTGTCTTAGTGGGTCTACTGCCTTGCTGGGGGTAAATTCTTTTCTTGTTGAAAGTAAAAACAAAAGTCCCTCGTAAATTTCAAAGTAGCAGTGGTTCTTCTTCAACAACGACGTCTTCCGTGGTACAACACACCTTCCAGCCACTTCGATTAAGAGTTCGAGTAATCTTTAACCTTGAAGCAATAACTCTGATTGCTGTCAAATTGACTTTTATCGCTGCACTTATTATCTTAGAACCATTGTTGACCATTCTAATTAGCATCTGCTCACCCCGTTCTGCAGAGTCCACGATTATGTTGATCACGCAATGCTGAAATTCATAGATGCATCCAGCATCAACAATCTTCGCAGATAGAATAGTTTGTCGACCATAAGAAGGTTGCAAAAAGATTGTGCATGTCACGCTGCCTTACCACGTATTATACTAGAAGTTCTGCATTTTAGAACATTCTAAGGATGCCGTAACCTTTACTATTTGGCGTGTATTTTTATGTAGACTAAATCAGTGTTTTTTGCAACGCAATAATCAAATTGCTATGTAGGTGTCAATAATTTTGAACAGTACTTTGGCTGATATTACCATATAAACATCATTATCACAGAGGGAGAAATTCAGCAGGAATATTTCTGATAGGGGCTGCCAATTATTGTGTGTGCATATATATATATATATATATATATATATATATATATATATATATATATATATATATATATTTCAAATATATGATTCCATCATGACACATAAATTACTATGTTTCGAAGCTGGTCATCTGTATTCAAGGTTTATTTCAATATTAAAACTTAACTGTTGGATGACGGTTTCATTCTCAAGCGATGTTGGAATAACTAAGCAACGAAATGTTTTACTGATTTATAGTTTTGAGATAGAGGTTTAATCTGGAGTTAGTTTTTCATTATCCAGGGGTCTCTGCTTTGATGAAAGTAGGAGTGTTTGTTATATGTCAAGTTTTTGGAGTTGTGTAAGGTTGGTTGTTTTTTTGTCTGCCTACAATGGTTAATTTTTCTCAGGCTCCGTTGTATGTTTTTTTTTTACTATCCGTTGTATTGATTTTTTTTTTTTTTGGTGATTATTTATTTCAGTTTTTTGCTGATGATTTCTTGAAGGGGCTTTAAGATTTGATTGGGTTGTTTTTTTTAAACTATTGTTTTAATTGAATTTGTTAATAGATTTTATATGGTATTTTATAATTTTTATATAGTATTGTAGAAATTATTAATATTATTTATTCATTTATGAAATGCTAATTATTTAAGGCAGATATTCGGTGGTGTCTGCAAAAAAACGTTATTTAATGTCTTTGATTTAATAAATTTTGGTTTTTTAGAAACATGATAATGTGTAGTTTTTCATGTAGGCATAAAGGGCATGGGTCATCCCAGGTTCTACAAGTTCTCGTTTCATTTATTATTTTCCAATTTATTTTAAAAAAAATTATAATTTAAGCTCTATTTCTGTATCGAGCACTGTTTTTTTTTAAATAAAAAAAAATACTAAAGAACTTAAGATCATCAATTTAATAGTTCTTTCCTATTATATCAATACACAGACGCACACACACACACACACACACACACATATACATATACACACATATATATATATATATATATATATATATATATATATATATATATATATATATATATATATATATTTTAACAAATGTTTTATAAGTAATTTCACAAACGTTTCATTGAAAATTGATTTTAAGAAACTTTGTCGGGATTCGGGATCCTTTTTTAAAAACATTCTCGAATAATGAGGCCGCTAGATGAAAATAAATAAATATACTATATATATAAATAAATATACTATATATATATATATATATATATATATATATATATATATATATATATATAGCTTTAAACGTTAGTTTTATTGGATATCCGTATTTGAATAGACGCTCCGTTTATTTATGAAGGAGTATGTTTATTTATTTTCATCTACCGGCCTGAATATTCGAGAAGTCTAATTGAAGGATGTGGCCAAAATTTGCACCCTTCGCTGGGAATGAGGAACAGTCGATGAAGTGAAGCAAGTTTCAGGTTTCAAATGATATATATATATATATATATATATATATATATATATATATACACAAAAAACGGTAAAAAATAGTATATCGTCATGAAAACATGCCCCAAACGTAGTGAAAACAGTTTTATCGTCAAAATCTTGATGCTATTATTAAGAAGTAAGATAGCATTTTTTGAATATTTAATTATGTTTTTGATTCCTTTTAGAACATTCAAAATTTTGATTAAAAATTTGTTTTTCTTGCGTCAGCGGTTGCACTAACTTTTAGCATAGCAAATTTTATCTTCTTTTTTTGCGGTGATAGACATATTAATTTGGAAATTCTTGCAAAAATCAAATTACTGTCTGATTCTAATTAAATTTTCAGGACTTATTCACAAATGAATGGAATAATTTATAGTTTTCTCCTTAGAAAAATTGGTAAATTTTTTACATGTTTCATTTCTTTACTTTTATTTAATGAAAAACTGAAAAATTCTATTTTATGAAAACTTGAGAAATTCAACGTGAAAATTTTTAGTGACTATATTAGTTAAAACCAGAATTCTTTGAAGAATTTAAACCACCGATTTTTTTTATAAAATCGGAACCCGTCTTACCGAAAAATTTTTTCTGAGTCGAAAAAGAAACGTAATAAAACTAAGATAATTATTTAATGAGAGTAGCTTCTAATTGCTTCTATGAATAATATATATTAAAGACAATATTGTCTGACGAAAAAAAATCGATGAAAAATGAATTTTTACAAGATTTGTTTTTATCGTATATACAATCTTTAATTGAATAATTTATAATGTCTTAAGTCTTTTAGAATTCATAGGAAATATGGTTATTATGTAAAACCATATTTAATAACCATATACTGTAAAGCTTATTACAATCTGACGACCCCGAATATTTTCAAAAGAATTTCGATTTCTTATTGTATGTTTATATATGCGAAGAATTTCTAAGTATGGATGTACAAACCTAACATTATTGTGCTTTAAGTGTTGTCTTCCCTTACGTAAAAATACCACTCGTATAAACATTATCGTCTGCTTCACCATAGTTAACTATGAACACGTTCAGCGGTTATTCGGCTGTCAATAGATCGATTAATAAGTCAGAAAAACAAGACCCCGAGGTTCAGAAATGCTTCCTTACAACATTTTATGCTATAACTACGTAATATTTATTTCAAATGAAATTAATTTAACTTTAAATTTGCTAATTTTCTTCTAATATCTTTCAAAAATAAAAAAATTGTAACTTTTTCAACCGAGAACCAATTTTTGTTTACAAATGTGTGAAAATGGCCGTTTTTATCGGTTTTACTGAAAATAAATTGATTCCGATTAATATATTTTCTTTGTGAAATATACCACAGAGTATTTTGCTTACTGGAAATAGTAAATTTAGAATCTTTTAGCTTTCATTTAAAGTAAAAATGAAAACTTCAAGAAAAATTTTTCATTTAAAAAAAATCATTTTAAACACTATGTGTACCGAATTAGTAGCGGTATCTTTCTTTTTCTCTCTCTCTCTCTCTCTCTCTCTCTCTCTCTCTCACATATATATATATATATATATATATATATATATATATATAAATAAACAAATTTTATTAAGTTAAACCACCAAATATATAAATTTTTTTGTAATTTTCCATTTTCAAAAAACTGTTCATTCAAATCAAAATATTGAATTAAATTTAATTTGTAGCGTTTCATCAAATAATCGGATGTATCCAACAAAATCTTATTTTGAACACTGAAAAATTACTGTTCTTGATAATGACAGACAGTCGAGAGGCCCTTGAACAGATTAAAAATTTCTTTTCATAAAGTTTTTCCACAATGATCGTCAGGTGTAAAATAAATTCGAAAATTGGTAAAATACAAAAATGTTTAAATATTTAAACCATATCAAGTGAATTTAATAAGACTAGTAAAAAATTGTGCACATTAAATTGCTGGGAGGGAAAAAACAGTGGTAGATTTAAAAGAAGAGTTAGGAAGTTATATATTGAAAAAATTCTATTTTTGTTCCTAATCACACGATACTTTTAAACGGCTTGTCTCAAATTCAGTAGCGACATGGGCATACTGAAAAATCCACCCGACCGCATGATACTAGTCAAAGTTTTATACACTAGGTAATCATCAGGGATGGGTGATATTTTTAATAGTAATATTAACCGTCTCCTTATAAGAAAACATTCGGTATTGCTTGATCGAAGAACCAGGGCGGCTCTCGGTTAAAATTTATAAAAAAAAAAATTTTCTTTAAAATAATTTTTCAGGAAAATATGTTTCTCAAGTCCAGGAAATGTGATCGCATTTTCCAGTTTTAAAGGCTTACTTTGCAATGTTTTATTTGAAGTAGTGTGGAACCACAACATCATCATTATGTCATTATTTTCTCTTCGGTGTTGCTAACTTAAAGTCATTTTTAACAACTGATCTTAGACAAAAGTTATATACAGCTAACAGTTTAGGTATATCTGGACGGGTTTGGCGCCATGCACGACATCCATATGAAAAACTTGATCTGAAGATGGGAAATCTCATTCTCCCCTCCTCCCTCTCTCTCTCTCTCTCTCTCTCTCTCTATATATATATATATATATATATATATAATGAATCATTCTTACAAAAAGTAGATTAGTAAAGTTAATGATATAAAATGGCGAAATCCTTTTCGCGAACAAAATTTTAAAGTTGCATTAACCTACGAATCACTCGATGAATGTTATGATCTTTGTTTTTAAATAATTATAAGCTGTATAAGGTCATTTTTTAATCTGCAAGTACTTTCAACTGTACATTCAGTCATCCTCAGGCATGGAAATCATTTTGTTTTTAGTTAAATCCGGTAGCATCCGAGACGAAAACATTAAATGCGAATCGAAATGCTTGAACTGCACATATATATATATATATATATATATATATATATATATATATATATATATATATATATATATATAATTTTTCATATAGACAAAAACAATTTACTCACTACAAAGAATTCTCGAGAATTGTTCATAACCATTTTGGTTCACATCAGTCTAGGTGCAACTAAATACACCGAAACAAAGTTGCATCTTTGTAGTGAGTAAATTGTTTTTGTCTATATGAAAAAAATTATAATAAACAATAATTGTTTTATTCTCGGTATTGAGCCCTCTTTTGAATTAATGCTGTGAATGTTAGAATTTATATATTTTCGTTCTCATCACATTCGGGTATATATATACATATATATGTGTATGTGTGTCTCTGCGTGTGTGTGTGTGTGTTTGTAGGAATCTACCTACTTTGTGCTAATGCCATCAAAGATATTATATTTACATTCACGTTTTCTGGTCTTTGGTGGTCACAAATATAAATAATGTATTCTCTCAGTTTCTCGAAGTCGGTTTGGAGTGACGCAGTGGTTATCATGGTTGACCAATTCTAGGAGGGATTGCAGGCCTGCCTGAATCAATCGACCCTGATACTGAAATGGAAGTAGCGAAAATGCTGATGTAGTTACGCACTGTGAAGATCCTTTGCGCATAAAATGAATATCTTTACTGTGCACAATGGTCTGATTGGTTCGAGCTTGTTTTAGTCGTTCTCGTTTCAATAGAAAGAGCGAAGCATATTATTTGTTTATGTGCTCTTCTCGGTATGTTTTTGTCTTCTCGGATGTGTCATATTAAAATTAAACACGACTGCGATTAAGAGCATATATCTATCACTCTATCCCTCTCCCTCTCTCTCTCTCTCTCTCTGTCTATCTATCTATCTATCTCTATAAATTTCTACATCTATATATCTATATCTATATATATACCTATATATATATATTTATCTATATCTATATATATATAAAGCTATATATATATTTATCTATATCTATACATATATATATATATCTATTTATCTCTCTCTCTCTCTCTATATATATATATATATAGCTATATATATATTTATCTATATCTATACATATATATATATAGCTGTATATATATATATATATATTTATCTCTCTCTCTCACTCTTCTCTCTCTCTCTCTCTCTCTCTATATATATATATATATATATATATATGTATACCGAATGTAATGAGAATGAAAATATTTTATAAATTCTAAAGGTCACAGTATTAATTCAAAAGATATCTCAATACCGATAGTAGAGCAATAATTATTTATTATAATTTTTTTATATAGACAAAAACAATTTACTCACTACAAAGATGCAACTTCGTTTCGGTGCATTTAGTTGCACCTCGACTGGTGAGAACCAAAATGGTTAAACAGTCGAGGTGCAACTAAATGCACCGAAACGAAGTTGCATCTTTCTAGTGATTAAATTGTTTTTATCTATATGAAAAAAAATTATATCTATCTAACTATCTATCTATCTATCTATCTATCTATCTATCTATATATATATATATATATATATATATATATATATATATATACATTTTTGAATAGAATTATTCGTCCCATTGATTATTTGCCTGTTTTCTAAGGAAATGCAAATACTTGCAAGTACCTACTGAATTTACCATAAATAATTGATTCTATATATAGTATTTGTAAAAGTTATAAATGTTACGATCTATTATGCTTATATTTAGAGATTTTGCTAAACATTTGTGAAGTATAAATGTATTCGCTCTTCTTATGGAAATTATGAAATAATGTTGCTCTATGACAATTGTAATATTTTTCTTAAATTGATATTTAATACAAAAACCCTGTGAAAATGAAATAGTATTGACCTGATTCTATAACGTTCTGAAATGTAATGAGGAAGACAATATGTGAGTGCCACGTACTGCGATAACTCATTTGTTCTGCAACCATGGCAAAGTCGGCTGAACTTGACAAGAAGCTGCGAATGAAGATAGTTGATGCGTACGAACAAGGTAAGGGATATAAAACATTTTCCAAGCGTTTAAATATTCCTAAATTCACAATTCGTGGCATTATCAAGAAGTACAACGAGACTCATTTTGTTGAGCATAAATGAAGAACTGATAGAAAACGATCGGTCCTTCCGGCTACAAAACCAAGACGCCAAAAGCACGCATACGACGTCGTCCATGGTATGAACAGGTTGGTTGAAGTGTGTAAAGAGAGGGAAATTGTTGTTGCTGTCACTGATGTTTGTTTTTTTGTGATTACTCAACCAGAGACGGAACTTTGTTTTTGTTTGGACCGCATAATTCCCTTTCTTGCATGTGTGACTGAAAAGAAAATATATTATCACAGCTTAGAGCCGGCGGTTTGAATACCACGTGAGTGACGGGATGTGTGTAAATATTGTGAATGATGAAGTGTTTGCAGACTAGGCACTGGGGTTTGTTGCAGGTGGTATTCTCTTGGTGTGGTGATGAATTGTATATATTGGCTGATGTTAAGTTGGAAGAGAGGCTGTTAAACTCGCGTGTAGGGGTTTATCGCTAAACATTTTCTAATTGTATTGTCTAGTTTTAAATGCTGGAAATCTTTGGTTAAGGTGTGGTAAAGTTTGTGGATTTTGTAATTAAAATAAAAGACCATAGGGATTCTGGAATTATATTTTTTAATTTCATAGGTAAGGAGAGAATTTCTGTTATATTTGGAAGCCTTGGTGATAAATTTTTGATTGTTGTAAGTGGATAATTCTCATTAAGAAAGTGATTCAAAAATTGTCCTATGTGTTTGTTTTAATCTTCCTTATGTGAACAGTTGCGTTTTATGCGCAAACATTGGCTGTAGATTACGGATATTTTTAGGTTGGTGGGGTGTCACCTATTGAAATTGGGGTAGCAGTGACCATCGGTAGCTTTGGTGTATAATGTAGTGGAGATGTGGTTGTTACTGAGACGTACTAGTGTGTCCAGAAACAGAATAGAATTGGTAAAATATTCGATAGTAAATTTGATGGTGTGGTGAAAACCATTAAGGTGCATATTAAAGTCTACGGGATTTTTCTCTTCGTGTGTCCATATGAAGATGTCATCTATGTATGTGGTAGTGTTCCACATGTAAGCATGTGTATGCCTGGCAGTATGTATGCTTATTTATATTCTTTAGTTAGTAAATTAAATACGTCAACGGATGCTTCATTGATTTCACTTCTATTCCATTCCTTTTCTTTCGATCCTCTGTAAATTCAACGGTGTGGATGAAATTATAAAAATTAGTAGCTATTCGAAAGGTTTTACATTCTCCCATGCACAATCTCAGACGGCATCAAACAATTGGGATATGACGGTTTTTGTGTGATGTCATAACGAGGAAACTATCACGTGAGCCACTTCAGGACAACGACTGTTTTCATTACTCACATCGCACTTGTGTGTCAGGACAAACAAATGGCTCGATAAATTTCTCTGACCGTGTAGAGTTAATCAAATATGTGAAAAACTGTCGACTGATTTGCACTAAAAAATCGACTTGTAATTTGACGGAAACGCCTGAAGATTTAATCGAACCAGTAGACATCATAGAAGAGTCCCAGCGATTAGCAACAAGTTTGAAATTGACTGATCTCTCTTCTAAATTTAAGCAAAAAAAAAAAAATCGAAAAAAATAAATTTTCAAATCTTACCATATGTCCGAACAGTGTCTATTTTCAAGTATTTTTTTTTTAAAATGCATGCACCAAAGACTTAGACACATAGGATCAATTTTGGGGGTGTTTTTGTGGTTAGGAAATGAAATGTCACCAAGCAAAGCACAAATAAACTAAAGCTGCTCCCTATATAAAGGCTAAAATATGTCAGCATCTTGCATTAAAGAATCCCATGGTGCCATAGAAATTTCAAAAACACTTTTTCAAATGAGCTAAAGATGTTAGGAATCGAGTTATCAGAGCATAACTTGCTTAACTTCTAAGTGATAATGCTGCTGGATGTACATATTACTTTGCATTTATATGTATAAGTACTTAAATATATATGTGTGCATAGTAATGTATACATGTGCTTGCATATAGTACCACAGTGCGTTCGAAATTTGTTTTTTATTTTGAGTTGGTCATAGGGTACTTGTACCGATGGGAAATACAACATTATTTCAGCTATGAATATGCAGCATTACATCATCTCATATATGGGAGAAGTTCTATACATCAGAAGATTGTATTACCATTAATATCATACGTCCCTGATGATTAACTTGTGTATGAAACTTTAGCAAGTATATGTGGTCAGTCGAAGTTTCCAGTATACCCACGTCGCTACCGAATTTGACACAATTATCGTGTGGTTAGGAACAAAAATATAAATTTTTCAGTATATATCTTCTTAACTGTTCTTTTACATCCAGCGATGTCTTTTCACTCCCAGAACTCAATTTGCACAATTTCATATTAGTCATGTTAAATTCACTTGACACGATTTGACTAATTAATTTTGTATTGCATTTTGCCAATTTTCGAATTTATTGTGCACCCGAAGCATCACTGTAGAGAAACTTTATGAAGAATTTTTTTTTTATTATGTTTGAGGACTTTCGACCGTCTGTCATTATCAAGAACTGTAATTTGTCAGTGTGCTAAATAAGATTGAATGACAAGATGGAAAACTTATTTGTAATGAGTTTCAGCTGATAAAAATACTTCAAGGACTTCGTCCGACTAATGTAATGTTCTCACTGATGAAATAATATAAATGCAGGAGGAGGGTAAGATATAAAAGCAATCATCGTTTATATTTATTCACCGATGGGAAACACTGAAGTTGTAGGAAAGTTAACCGGCGTTTACATTTATACTCTGGGTAGGCCTATTGTATTATTCTAACGATTATTTATTTGGCCTGTAACGCTTATGTTTTGAATTATTTTAGGGTTTATTGAGTAGAAATAATTATGAATACAGGTGCAGTTTTGTAGCTATTTTATAGTGTCGTTTGTTAACATTATTTATTATTGTATTGTTGTTTGTTATTATTGAGTTTAATTGTGTTTATGTGTAGTTCGAAGTGTGTTAATTTCTTTATTATTTACTTAATTTATTTACTTATTTATTGATTTAGATTAATCAATTTTTCTTTATTTTATTTTTTATTTATTTTTGTTCTTGTTCGTTTTTAGTTCGATTTTTAAGTAACGCAGTAAACGTATTTTCCTATCTGCATTTTTGGATGAGTTCTGATCGTTTATTTAGTAGCTTGTTTTTTTCTGGAGAGGTAATTGTATCTATTTTCTCCTCCAGGCAGAGTCTACAGTTTTTGTATTTATTGATGTAGGCTGGTGCTGTTTTTCTTATTTTCAATGATATTTTTGGTGTGATTTAGTTTTTGTTTTTAATCTCCCAGATATGTTTAGAAAGGATTGTGCGGTGCACGTATTTAATGTAAAGGTTGTTTTTTGTGTGTAGTTTCTTTGTTTCCATGCACTCTCCACAAAATATTCAACTAAAAACACAGTAAAAATCAGTTACATTTGCACCAAGAAAATGACAAATAATAAAAGCATAACAGGAAAACAAGCAACAAACACACGCACAAGTAATTTCAGAACAAATAACGAATGTCCCTTAAACGGCAGTTGCTTGCAGAACAATGTAATATACCAGTCTGCTGTAAAATCAGCAGATCACAAAGAAAAAATATAGATAAGTGTAACTGAAGGACTCTGGAAACAATGGAGGTGTAGGAACGCTAAACATCGATTACGTTTCTATTCTCATTCTACCCTACATATTATATATGTATTTATTTTGAATCAGAGAAGGTCTTGAGTTAACTATTTTATTTTATTTCTTTTAAAATTATTGGTCGTGCATATTGGTTTGGGAACGGAGAATCTACAC